TTTCCTTATTGACTCAAACTTATACAGGTTTCCAGAATGATCTGTAGTACCACCGATATTTCTTCGAGTAACAGGCATGTAGATTTCATTTCATAGGAAACATTCATAGTATCAAGTTTTCAAGAGATCAAATAGGATGTCTAGTGTGTTCCAACCAATACCAGTGAAAATATATAAATCTTTTAAAGTAGTAATTGTTTACAACATATTTTCAAAACCATAGTGGAACCCTCCAACCAAGCATCGTTATGCAATTTCCCAGAACTGCATCCATAAGGGCTTACCCTAAGCACACAGCAAAGGGAGCCAAGCTAAGGGAATACTATGGGGCCCGAGAGCCTACCCAAGGTTCGCCTTAGGTCCGTAAGGATTTACCATCTAGATTAGGGTTGAACCTCCATACTCCATAATTCTACCTATATAAATTCCAGTAGAAATCAGTTTTAACCGTAAATCATAATATATGGATCGTGATCCAGTAAAATCTCAGAATGTAACAATGAAATAAATCATATAACTGATTTCCACCTATACACCATATGTAGTCCCATTATTAACCCAAGGGAGTTCCTTGGGGCCTGAGAGCCTACCCAAGGACCACCTTAGGTTCGTAAGGATTTACCAGTTTGATCAGAGTTGAACCTTCAATCTACCCAGATAATGTCCCAATAAAACAGTTCAAGTATACCCAGTGAAAATAGAAAATCGTAGTTCATAAACCAGTAAATTCCATAATTCCATAAATCAAGAACAATCATATTTTTTTAGTGAAAACCATAATCAGAAAACACATACCATGTAGCCATGGGTCATAATCCAGTAAATTAATAATTCCAGTGAAACATATTTCAAAACATATAAAGCAATCATGTAGTACGTGGGGAACACACTAGATGATCCAAGTATTTTTCAGAGGCACTTGGTAGTTATTAGTAATGGAAAACATGAAACTGATGTAATTTGATCGGATTCCAGGAACGAGGTCCTATTGAAAGGGATCGATTACTAATGGATCTAATTAGACAATTAGCATCAAGAAGGTATTTAGGAACCTTTATACAGAATAATTCTAGATTCAGATTTACGGAGAGTGATTCCATTATTCAAATAATCAGGGGTATTCAGGATTATGCATTAAATTAACAGGATTTTAAGTCCAATTGAACCAAATGAGGTATTCAGGATCTTTTTCATCTGAGTTACTTGTGTGTTCAGATATAACCGGAGTGATTTGAGTTGATAAGGGAGAAACGAAAATTTAGGACATTTACAATCTGTGTCGATCTATCGGATTATCAAAATAACTCGAGCTGAACAACTCCCATAACTAAGGCATGTCAACCGATCAATTTGTTGCCCTTTCAGGGTATTCACTCTTTATTACCAACAATTCTTATCCATAGATCACCTTCAGAATCATCGCTGAATATATCTTAAGGGGATGAACAGATATTCCAATGATCTTTATTTCATTTCCACATTACAACAATATCAGGAATTCTCGACGTACTTTAATTCTTGGTTCAACCCATAGGGATAGTACATCATGTAAGCTCATCAGTATTTCCAGACTTATCCAAATCATTTACTTAACCCTCAATCATTCAAGTTACTTAGTTCATTTAGTAATCATGTCTATCCTGGTCAATTTAGAGTTTTCCAGAATAATTCAAACATTTTTTGAAATTCGGATACATATGGTACTTCCGTTCAGTTCAATTTGGTCATAAAATAAAGTCATTTTGGTATTCTAGGTTGATTTAATCATTTCAGTGCTTAAGGGTATTTAATTATTCTATAACTTGGAGATACTTTAGGTCATTACACTTCAGGGACAATTCTATAAATCCAATATAAATCAGAAATTTAATTCAATGATTCCAAAGTTCAACTGGATCAAAACATAAGTTCTTAGGTAATCTCCCTTATCATAGCCATCCATTGTGCTTTTTACTCTTTAAGCGTATCATCATCATTCCACTCAATTCAGGCAGTGGCATACTTATGATTAATCAGGCTTGAATGTTTTCTAATTCTTTTAACGTTTAGGGTATTTTGTTTCTTTAATCAATAGAGGTTATTATAGTAATTACGAAGCTCGAGGACATTTGGGGTAATTCATTTCAAATCAAACATATGCACTATTTCTGATAACTGGTAAGTATGCCTTTTCTGGGTTATCTTTCACCATCTGAGGAAGTTTTGGTCTTATACAACACAAGGGCATTCTCATAATTTTATCCCATAGGTCTATTTTTAGTAATTTCTTATCCAAATAATCCCGATATTTAACGTATAAAGTAATTTATCAAAATTTACAGATCTTGAAACCAATTCATTTATTATTGAATCACTGAACTTATAATTATTTCCGATTGATCTTCTAATTTCTCTTTACCGAGCCGTCTAAGTCTTATACCGTTTTCTGTCCTTAATCCAATTTACGTCTAAGTCCAATGATAATTAATTACATCTAATGGACAAATCATTTATATTCATGCAATTACCATCTATCAATGAGTTCCAAAAAAACATACAAAAGGTAGTAGAGTATTACCTCAGTTTTTGTGCCATATCGATCGAACATTTAAAACCCATTTGATCGCCCTCGAACTTTAATTCAATGACCAATAATTCCTCGGATACAAAGCAACCAAATTTAGGTCAGAAACTGAACTTAATTGAGAAACTAATTTGAATCCGAAGATAAAACATCGAAAAATAGCTTACCGGGTGGGAATTTAGAAAAACGAACTTCGGATTGGGACTCAGGACGTCAAAAAACATAAAATAGAAATTTTTCGAAAAAGTTAACTTTTTGGTCAAAGTCAATGGTCAACGGTATGAGCAGTCAAAGTCAACGGTCAACGGGTTGACTCGGTCAAAGTCAACAAGTAGACTCAACCGAGTTGACTCAGCGATTAGGTCGGGCAGGCGGGTGGGGTCGAGTCATACCCAGTTTTGGAAATTTCCCTAGAGCAAAACAAGCCCCACGCGCGGGTGATGGCGCGTGGCGATGTGTGCGACAGCGGTAGAGGTCGGGGCGATCAACCGACTCTTCCTGGAGCATTAACACATCATTAAAAGCTAAAATCAACTCAAACATCAGCCTCAATCACACAAAATTAAACTAAACAAATGATTGAACCCTTACCCATACCGACGATGACAAACGACGACAATGTTTCGACCCACGGGTTGGGTCACGTGCGCCCGAGGATGACAATGCTAACGACGCAGGCGGTGAGGCAATGCGATCACCAGATTGGCCAGAATCGAGGCAAAAACATACGGCGGCGGGAGATGGTTTCGACGATGATACACAGCGAAAGAAGACGTTTCACAGCGAGAGACCATTGGGGTTTTGGTCGACAGTCAAGGACGAGTCGGTCGGGGGTAGGAGTGAGTCAGACGGTGGCTGGACGGTGAGAGTTTTGGGGCCTGGCAAGGCTTTGATCGAGTAGGGGAAAAGAAGTTTTTAGGGATTTTGAATGAAATTTAGGGATTTTTCGGTTTTGGGATTTCACTAGAAAGGGGGTTTATTTTTCATGTGTAATGAAAATTGGTAAAATTTGGGTTTAAGCACCTGAATTTCCTGCACTTCATAAAATGGTCTGTCAGCTTTTAAATTTTACAATTTAATTCTAAATTTCTTATGGGATACAACTTTAATTCGATAATTTATATTTACTAAAATTTAGCCCCTAAATTAGGGTGCGACACACTCAAACTTATAAAAAGAATCCAATGTGACCCTTTGACCAATGGTTTCTTTCGTTGACCGCTACGATGCTGATGTGGTACTTCACGGTGATGATGCGGTGATCCACAGTGCTGACGTGACAGTCCATGATGACTGATAACATGACTGATGGACTAAATTAGTTTTTTCAAGTTCGAGGGCCAAATTATTTTTTTAAAATTTAAGGGTTTATTTGAATTTTTTAAAAATAAAAATATTTTAAGTTTAAAATATAAAATATTAAAAACTTAAATATAATAATACCAAAAATAAAAATTATATTACTAAAAATATTAAATAAATATATATATATATATATTATTTATTTTTTAAAAATAAAAATAAAATAAAATTCATATTAGAATTCTCTTCTAAATTCTAATTTGAATTTTATTTTATTTTTATTTTGTTGAGTCATGTATGTTATTTTTTTATTTTTTCAAAAGTAAATATTGGAGTAACATAAAAAACCTCGAACACGTAAAGTTCATATCTACTTGGCTTTATAGAGTTGTATCTAATAGAAATTGACGGGATAAGCTGGTATTCTCAATTTTTCATAAGATCAAGTCTAGGTGAAGTTTACTTTCCTATATCATGTTATATGTACTAAGAATGTTCCTCGTAATTGGATAACTAATTTTTAATTTTATAGTTTTATGATAATTTATAAATAAATTTTAATATCATAATTTTAAAATTTTAGTTTAAAAGATTTTATAAGATTTATTTATTTATTCATTTTTCTAAAAACTTAGTGAAATATAATTTAAAAAGACACTTAAAATTTACGATAATTAGATGTAAATATAAATTTGTGTAGGAAGAACGAATTTAAATTTATATAAATAAAAGTCAAGTTAAATTTAAGGTAAAAAAGTAATAATATATATTTTAAATTTTTGAATAATTTAATTTTTATTTTTGGTATTATTATATTTAAGTTTTTAAATAATTTTATATTTTGAGTTTAAAAAATTTTAAAAAATATATCAATGGAGACATTGTGGACAAGTACAAGGGCCTCAGCTACTTTTTTTTTATAAATCGTGTTCGGTTTTCCCTCTCCCGAACCTTTCCCGCCAAAAAGTTGTGGATTACGATAAAATTTAGACGAACACTCATATCCAAAATTAATATTACTTCCGTCGAGTTGTTCAGATCCCACGGACACGGAGAGATCTCAATTGAAAAGTTTGGTTCGATCAACGCAAGCAACATTGGCTCAATTGTTCCCATTTATTTTACGCATAACGAGTACTCTAAGGAGGAAGAAAAGCTGATCGTTGAGCTCATTCGTTCCTTCTCTGTTCCTCCAGGGAAAAATCTTGCCCATCAGGTTTACTTTTCTCCCTCTTTTATTTTCATCGCGAATTTGGGGACATTTTATTTATTTTTCTCGTGGACTTCATTTTGGTGGTCAAATGCTTGAGAGCGATACGTAATCTGTTTTTGATGTGCTCAATCAGGTGAATTATGCATATAAAAGGACGATTTAGTTAGGAATTTGCTTTAGTTATTACTAAATTCTTGGTTTTATTACCTCATATTGGCAATTTTACAGCTGCTAAGTTTTTTTTCTTAATATTTTAAATTCTAAATCCTATTAATGAGTACCTGCAACGCCAATTTATAGCTACAAGCTTGGCAGTTTTATCATGAACACGTAAAGGATGATTGTGGTTCCGTTTATTTGTCTCTTGATTACCAACAATTTCGAAATTCATGTGATATTGAAGAATTCTACGCAAAATTGGAAGATAAACCTAAAATAGCTCTTTCCACCATGAGTGCTGCTATTCACCAGGTATGAACAAATGCAAGAAAGAAATAAGTTTAAAATTTATTTAAATTTGGTTTAACAGAGGAAATATGTTGGGAGCAGGTTTTATTAAACAATCCGGATTTCTACTTGGAGGAAGGAACGAAGATTAATATCCGTCTGCACAACTACCCTGAATCCATGATTGTTTTGAAGAACTTAAAGGCAGCATATAGTGGTACCTTTCGATTTCAACTTATAGTTGTACTCATCTAGTTATTGTTTTGTAAACGATAGTGATTATATATGCAGACAAACTGGTATCTGTGAGGGGTACAGTGGTAAAGGCTAGCACTGTCAAGCCTCTTGTAATTAAAATGACTTTTTGGCTGTGAAAAATGTACAACTGAGATTCCTAGTTCATTTCCTGTGTCGTAACCGTCCCTTGGGAGTGCCTGGAATAGGGTTTTGACTTAAATTTAATATGTTAAAGCCACCACCGATCATTTGAAACTAGGTTGATCGAACACCTTATCTTACCATTTACTTGATCTGCGTTTTACCAAAAATTAATCGGATTTGGGAGTCAGTTACAGCCAATGAATGATTAGTACCTTTGTACTGCCCTTTTGGTATCAATTTAATTTTCCGGTTGTTTTAATTGCGAAAATTAAAAGTTAAATTAAAATTTGAAAGCTCGATCCGAATTACTTACCTTTAAAGAATTTTGAAATTGACCTAAAAATAAATCAAACTGATGTGAAATAAAAAAATTAAAATAAATAAATAATAAATAAATAAATAAAATAATTAAAAGAAAATTTAAATAAAAAGGACCATATTGAAAAGAATTAAAAATCAATGATCAAATTGAAATTAATTAAAAGTTGCAAGAAGAAAATAAGAAGTTAAGGGTCAAATTGCTAAATATAAAGAAATATAAATAGGGATTAAATTGAATTAATTCAAAATTCATGGGTGAATTTACAACAGGTGACTAAAATAAATTAGCATCAAAAGTATAAGGACTGCAGAAATAATTAAACTATTTTGGTAATTGCACTAAGGCCCTCCCTATAAATAGCCCAAAAATCCCAAAAAAATCATTTTAACTTATTTTGAAAAAAAATTCTCCCAACCTTTTTCAAACCTTCTCAACCTTTCCCTTAATCAACCAAAAGTCGGCCACCCACCGGTGACCACCCGTAGCTCGGACCGCCGCTCCGGTGGCCAGAAAACCTAAAGCCTACCTCAAAAGCTTCCTCTCCACACTTCGAACCCAAAATCGAAGCCCAAATACCCAAAATAAGCTCCAAACGGAGTATATATATAAAAATGTTTCGACTTTACCTTTTCCAGTGAGCTTTCCCAGCGATTATTGCCTTATCAGAGCCTAAATCGATGTTAGCCCCGCCACCTTGGGATATATTTTTGCTATTTCAAATGCTATTTGCTTGTTTTTTTTGTGTTTTGCTGAGTGGTTGCTTTTGGTTTCTCTTGGCCGAATGTTATTTGGTTGTTTTGTGGCTACAATTTACTTGATTTCTACTGTGGTTTTCACTGTTGGCTCCTTGTCTTACAATGCTCCACCGGTGCCCTTTTATAGCCTCTGGAAATGAGTCGTTTCCTTGGATCGGGTGTTGTAATCCTGACTTCGCCGGGATTTGGGCGTGGTCGATTCTCTCGGCATGTCGTTGCTGTTCAGATTTTGCTTCGATTTCGTAGTTTTGCAGTTTCAGGGGTTGAAAATTCCGGTAGACTCTAGAAACCAAATGGCACGTGGCCTCCACGCTCGCTATTTTATCTCCACGTGTGGCGTCCTTGTTTGACGCGAAACCTTAGCCCCTTTTGGGTCAGGCAGGTGAGCTTAGGCCTTACACCGGGCTTACTGGGTCAGACTCGCTTTAGTTGGACCCCGTTTCTGGACTAGATTTTGACTCTTTAGACCCTAAAAATGAAAAACAATAATAAGCTTAATATATATATATATATATATATTAAATACTATATAATATATTACATTTTCAAAATCATATAGTATGTTTTCAAAAAATATATATATATATTACATATATTTTTTAAAAACTATATATATTTTATGTTTTCAAAACTATATAACAATATGTTTTTTTTTAAAAACTATACTATATATTTTCAAAAACTATATATTATATGTTTGACAAAACTATATATTATATATTATAAATATAAAAACAAAAAATCATAAAGTCTTGGACGAAAATGAGTGGTTATAGCTGCCCATCTTTGTCCATTTATTGTATAACAAAAATAGGACAAAGATAAAATGACACAAATTTTCGTTCGGTATAAAGGGGTTTTTTAGTTTGATATCCTCTATTGTGGAGTTGAAATTTGACTGGAAGATTTTAGTTAGAAATAGCTTCCGTGCTATTAACTTGAATTACATATAACTCATTTGTCGTGAAGTTGAGTTAATTTTGAAATGTCTTTGAACACGATATCCTTCGTTATGAAGTTGAAATCGTGGTTGACCTTTTCGTCGTGAAGTCGAGCCAATCTTGAATGTCTCGAGCATGATATCCTTCGTTGTGAAGTTGAAATCTAGCTCGATGCCTGGGTGAGGTGGTAATTCCTCGCCATTAAGTTAAGATATAAACCGTAGTTAATCATGGGTCCTCTTCTAATCTAAAGTCCTTCATCATGAAGTTGAAATTTGATTAGACGACCTTAGTTGAGAAGTAGTTCTTTTGAACTATGTTGTAGATTACTCCTTTACCGTGAAACTGAGTCATTCTCTTGGACACAATATCCTTCGCTGTGAAGTTGAAATCATGGGTGACTCCTTCGTTGTCTAGATAGAATGTTCTTATGAGTTGGATGTCCTTCGTTGTGAAGTTGAAATCCAACTTTGATAAGCTTTGTCATTTTCGAGTTCAATATCATTCCTTGTGAAGTTGAAATTGACTCTGACTGCAATCCACAAAATTATACCTATGTGTGCAATGCTATGGATGCAATGTTCTTATGTATGCCTAAAATGCATATGCAAAATATGCTATTTTTGGATTTTAGAGAGAAATCTCAATCTCTTGTTATCAATCTTGATTTTCTGACATTTCTTGATTCTTGCCAATCTTGATATTTTGATTCTTGATTTTGGATTATCTGATCCTCAAAGGGTTTTGGTATGATATCATCTTCGGGATTTTGTTTCAATGGGGAAGTTTGATTTTCTTCTGTTGATTTTGATTTGTAATCAACGTCTTGTCTGCCTCTTAGTGTATTTCAAACTAGTATTTGTGCCATTTCTCGAGCACTATTCAAGAACCCCTATCAGCTTCCAAACACCTATATTTTCAGGAAATCTTTGTGCAATAATATGCAACGATCTTTTCAAAGTATATAAATCATTTTATTTAAATTCAATACAAGATGCTAAGAAATTGATCTATCTCATACAAAGGGCCATATTTATTTATGAAGAATAAAAAATATACATGAAAAATATTCTGAAAAGAGAATATATTCAAAAGGACAAATAGGTTCCTCGGATCTCAATAATGTGGATGCCTTTGAATTGGCACGCTTTACATGACTTTGAGTGTAGTTTTTGTCGAGTGGACTTCGAAGATTGTGAGAACATTTGGAAGACTGTAAAGTCCCTCCCAAATTATTAAGTCTCTGAAGACTTGGGTGTCGTGATGTTTTTTCTTTGATCCGAGACCTCACCGTGCGCAAGTCATGGATTGTTACCTAAGCCGCCCTTTCGGGTTTTCAACTTGGATCTGCCCTTGGTTTCAAGATGCCCTTTGCGGGTTTTCATTTTGGACCCGACTTTTATTTTCTTTTTCTATTTTTTCAATTTAGAGCACCCTTTTGGGTTTTCACTCTAAACATTTTTCTTTTTTTTCAAGAATCTTCGACTTAAGGTGGCCCTTCGGTTTTCACCCTGCAAAATATCTTTTGACCGCATTAGAGTTAATGGGATTGGGTAGTTCGGGCCCGTCCATTTCAATCAAGATTAGTGCTCTTCCAGAGAAAGCCTTTTTTACGATGCAAGGCCCCTCCCATTTCGACATCCACTTTCCTCTGAAGTCTTTTTGATTTAGCCAAATCTTTTTCAATACAAGATCTCCTTCATGAAATATTCTTGGCCACACTTTCTTGTCGTGTGCTCGAATCATTCGTTTTTGGTAGAGTCGACCATGGTGAATGACTTTCAACCTTTTTTCCTCTATTAGGTTCAGTTGACCATAACGAGTTTGCGCCCATTCTGTATCATCTAGCTTTACTTCTGACATAACTCGAAGTGATGGGATATCCACCTCAATGGACAACACAACCTCCATCCCATATGCTAATGAAAATGGGGTTGCCCAAATTGAAGTCCGCACCGAATTTCGATAAGAAAACAAAGCAAAAGGTAACTTTTCGTGACAGTCTTTGTACGCCTCATTCATTTTCTCTACTATTTTCTTAATATTTTTATTTGCTGCCTCTACTGCTCCATTCATCTTTGGTCGATAAGCAGTAGAGTTGTGATGCTTTATGTTGAATTATTCACATGCAATATCCATCATTCTTTTGTTTAAATTGGTTGCATTATCGGAATGATCCTTTCTGGTAAACTATACTGACATATGATCTCATTTTTCAAGAATTTACAAATTGTGGACTGACACTAGCATATGATTCAGTTTCCACCCATTTGGTAAAGTAATCAATTTCCACAAGGATAAATCGATGATCGTTTGAAGCTTTTGTATGGATTTGTCCGATAACATCCATACCCTACATAGAAAAAGGCTATGGAGCCGTCATTATATGAAGTGGGCTAGGTGGGACATTTATTTTATCTACATAGATTTGGCATTTGTGACATTCTCTGGCATAATTGATGCAATCACTCTCTAATGTAGACCAAAATTACCTACATCTCATGACTTGTCTTGCCATCATATGCCTATTTACGTGAGTTCCACATACTCCGTCATGTACTTCCTTCAAGATCATCTTTGCCTCTTCTGCATCTACACATCTTAAGAAGACTTGATCATGACTTTTTTGTATATGACTTCCCCATCAAATAAATATCCTACTGTCATTCTTCTATTGTTTTTTTGTCATTTTCAGTAGCTTCTTCTGGATAACTTTGATTTTTATGTATTGCAGAATGTCATGGTACCATGGTTTTTTTATCTTTCACTTCTTCGAAGTGATAGCAGTGAGCTGAATATTCGTATGACTACATGTCGATTGGCATAATGTCAAACTCCCCGCTAACTTTGAATGTTGTTATTAAGGTAGTTAAAGCATTTTCCATCTGGTTCTCCTCTCTGGGCACGTAATGAAAAGTGCCTTCATCAAACTTTTTAAGTGGATCCAATATGAGCTTTCTGTAC